GTGTCCTCTGTCCTCTGTGTCCACTGTACTCTGTGTCCTCTGTCCTCTGTGTCCACTGTACTCTGTGTCCTCTGTCCTCTGTGTCCACTGTCCTCTGTGTCATCTGTCCACTGTCCTCTGTGTCCACTGTCCTCTGTGTCCACTGTCCTCTGTGTCATCTGTCCACTGTCCTCTGTGTCCTCTGTCCACTGTCCTCTGTGTCCACTGTCCTCTGTGTCCATTGTCCTCTGTCCTCTGTGTCATCTGTCCTCTGTGTCCACTGTCCTTTGTGTCCTCTGTCTTCTGTGTCCACTGTGTCCTCTGTGTCCACTGTCCTTTGTGTCCTCTGTCTTCTGTGTCCACTGTGTCTTCTGTGTCCTCTGTGTCCACTTATCCTCTGTGCTCTGTGTCCACTGTCCTGTGTCCTCTGTCCACTGTGTCCACTGTGTCCTCTGTCCACTGTGTCCACTGTCCTCTGTGTCCACTATCTTCTGTGTCCACTGTCCTCTGTGTCCTCTGTCCTCTGTGTCCTCTGTCCTCTGTGTCCACTGTGTCCTCTGTCCTCTGTGTCCCTCTGATGATCTGTCCTAATCTTCATCCTTGTCTCTCCCAAAGAGAACCTGATCCTTCAGCTCTGACTCTTCCTGTTCTGTCTCCTGTCTTTTAGTCCATGTCTCTGTCTCTGGACCAGAACCTGGACTTGTGGTCTCTGGAGTCCAGAAAAAGCTGCTTCCTTGTGTAAATCTAGAACACATGGTGTCTTCTGGGGGACAGCATCTACCAGCTGCAGTGGATCAGGATCCTAACCACCCTCTGTAGGGAGAGTAGGGAGAGTGATGCTCATGGGTTTATCTGGAACTCAACAGTTTCCAGTTTGTTAGAGCTCTCAGACAGGAAGTCCATCATCTTATAAACAACCAGGTAAACTCTCTACAGGTAAACTCTCTACAGGTAAACTCTCTACAGTTAAACTCTCTACAGTTAAACTCTCTACAGGTAAACTCTCTACAGGTAAACTCTCTACAGTTAAACTCTCTACAGGTAAATTCTCTACAGTTAAACTCTCTACAGTTAAACTCTCTACAGGTAAACTCTCTACAGGTAAA